GTTATATAACCTGCCTTCTCCACAATTTATTTAAAACATGTTTTTATGTCATTAAATATTCCTTCATCCCTCCCTGGTATTTTTATTGTATGGCTGTACCACAGTTGTTACTTTTATAATTACTATTATCATAATATCTGATGAACATCTTAGCTCAAATTTTGCACACATCCATGGCAATGGTCTTTGGGTAACTGTTACAGAAATGGAATTTCTAAGCCCAAAGGTGTGTATATTTTTGAGGCTTTGATACACATTGTCTAAATTCCCTTGAGAAATATGTTCTTTCACTGTGTCTGGGAGAGCCCGAGAGTCTCATTCCTACTTTCACCAAATACATTTTACAAATCCTCATCAATGTGTAGGTAGAAAATGCTACTTCATTGCTTTAGTTTGCATTTCTTTGATAACTGTTGAGGTTGAGCATTTTCTTATGTTATTTTTTGATTATATTTTTTCATTTACTGGTTTTTATCTTTCTGTTCTTTGCCCCTTTTCTATCAGAGCACTCATCTTTATCTTAACTAATTTGTAAGAACTCTTACTAAATTAGCTAATTTAACTCTGTGTCGTACATGTTGTAAAGATTGCTCTGGCATGTCTTTTGTCTTTAGGGTAATTCAGAATGCCTTGTATAATTTCTACCTTTATAATTTCTACCACTAGAAATTAATAAGGCCTTCTTTATTCCAGGGAGGAATGACTTAATTTTTATTTGCATTTTCTTCCCTGTCCCTAGTTTCAGACGTGTGCAATATTTCTTCAAAGTCTTCCACAAAGGGGACTTGGCCATTGTCTGCAGAAAAACAAGGGTGGAGATACACTCGATATAGATGGGCCATTTGGTGATACCACCAAGAGTGTCCTAGATAGGGGAAGAGAAAATCTTCTATGTTTATTCGTCATCAATTCCTTGTATCACATCCAGTAGCTCTGTCAACTTGCTCAAGTGAAAGAAGTTTAAAATGGAAAAAGTTTTAATGTTAGGTGTGTGTTGAAACGTTAAAACCTCCAAAGTAAGATGACTCTCCTTACTTTGGGCAGAACAGAAGCTCTGGATGGCAAAGACCTTTGTTTTGTTCACTGATGTCTCACAAGCACAGTGCGTGGTACACAATACACACCGTAAGGGTGTGTTGGGGGAGCTGATGTTTAATCAAGAGTCATGTGTATGCCAGGTGGAGAGCCAGGAGTGATGAGTTCTGAATTTCACTGCTTCGTATTAAGGAGGTGCCAAGAAAGAAAAACTTTAAACGAAGGCAGAAACTCAATTTCAGTTTTACTCTTTAGTTGACTGTAGAGATATTGATCTGAGTGTAAAGGTGAAACTGCCTCAAACTTGGCACAGTAAAATATTCAGAGAAAAAATTCTGTTGGGTAGATATTAAGCAAAACATAGCATCCACCCACCAAGAGAGATAAGAGATACTACTCAACTTCATTTGATGCTATGGCATTTGTCCAAGCAATAACAATCAGATCTGGCTTTATTTGAACATAAGAAGGAAGAAACAGTTCTCAAGAAGATTCATTTTCACTGTGTGTGTGTGGGGGGGGGCATTCTGTATAATAACGGAAAAATCGATTAATTTTCAATCAGATGGAGTGTCCTCATAAATTCAAGGCAGACAACAGCATGTGATATGCCTTCATGAAAATGACGACCATGAGGGAAAGAGTTTAAAATTGTAATTCCAAGGTTGCTGCTAGGAAGAGATATCTTTCAAGAGCAGAACACTGTTTCCTGTTAGTGTGGTTTTGGGAACTAACATAGTGGTATGTACTCAATGTACATCATTCTGCCCAATTTGCCTCTACAAAATCCCATCCTGTCTAACTTGCCTCCCATTTGGCTATCATTTTTTAAGTAACACACTAAAATCTTTCTTTACAGCATGATAATATGTAAATAACATAGTCCTTCTTACTAGCAAACATTTGTATTATAAAAGCTGTATTTATACATATTAACTAGGGAATGCCTGAGAAAGTAGAGAGGATAGAAACTTCTGACAAAACTTAAAGTTAAATCCTTATTACAAAGTTTTGGGTCAATATAAAGATTGGAAAGTCAGCTCTTACAAAAAGATCTATGGAGAATATGGAACTTGGAAAGATGGGTCTTCAAGATTGGATGAGAGCTAGGGAGAGTGAGTGGCCTGGGAAAACTTGTGCACCCATAATTCTTCTAACATGTTAGGCTAGAACATGAAGCCCAAAATGTACAACTATTAAAGCCTGTTTATAACATTAAAAAGGTGAATAAATGTGGGGGTATCCACTATCCACTCTGTATTAATCTTATTAGGATGCACCAGTGCTAGCTGTCTGAGGGTTGGAAGTGTACCCCTTCCTGGTGTGTCCCCAGACTCTGCTACACATAGAAGTTCAAGTATATGAGTAATGATGGCCCTACCTGGTGGACAGCAGTTCACTATCAGGTTAGCCTGATTATATTAGGCAGACAAAGGGTTAATTCATTTGACCAATGGCCATGGGGGCAATTCCTGTTGTTTTCTAGAGAGATCATCTCTAAATAACCCCAAAGAGAGATAGATGTCAATGCCTCACTGTGATCAGAACTGCCCTGTCACTTCACAGCAATTACACTGGACCCTAGAATATTCTGTCATGCTGCATCCTGACACCTCCCCAGTTAAAGTGTCCCGTAAGCTAGCAGGGGTTTGGGAAGGAAAAAGAGTTATTAGAGTGTATGTCCAAGTAAGTGGAAAGTACACAATTAAAATGTCTCCAACTTTCTAGGAACAAATCTACCTAGAAAATCAATCACACCCACAAAAATATTTCCAGCATTCTAACTTACATATCCTAATTGATGAGATGATTGTCTGGTTTTACTTACACTGAGAAGATCTATTTCCTCCCCAGAGGGTAATCTATTCTTTGTCTTATGCCAAGAAACCCATAAGAAAAATGCTGACCTATGAAGGTTACACATCATGCTTAATCACTACTTTAAATTAAAATAACATAAAATAAAGCATTCATTGGGCCACTTAGACGGAACATAACTTCCCAAAAGCAACAGACACACCTACTGAGACACTTGAAATGTCTGAGGAGTCTGGTTCCCAGCTGTGTATCAAGAGCCAAACCATGACATCAGGCCTTGAACTGCTCTGGAGAAACTCAGGGCAGGGCCATCATAGCAAGCTGTGCCTGCCAATCAGAGATTTCCCAAGAGTTGTCTTAGCATTTCAGTACACCAGACTCTAACTAATAGAAGCCAAGGTTTGCAAAGACCACAGTGATGAATCTCTTCCCCACGCTCCAGTCATGACCTTGGGGTGGAATACCTGCTACTTTCCAGTGTTCCAAGAGCTCTCTTCTCAAAAACTGCTTAAAGGTAAGTATTTAAGCCAATGGGGGCGGGGGGTGGGGGTGGGGGGTGGTGGGTGGAAGGTTTCCTTCTCTTAGGCTTAACTCAGCCAAATGAAAATCCCTGAAAAACAATTGCTTATTATTTTCTGGTCTCTTCTAGTAGGGTTATGCAGCCACCCTGAGAAGACTAAACAAATGGGCATGAGAAAAATTACCGCTGAAAAGGGTTCTTAGTAAAAGAATCTCAACAAATAAAATGGGCTTTCTCCATAATACCTTTTGAAGGCCACTGTCTAAAAGCGGTGTCCAACTGCATCACAACCCATAGCTAATGTGATAAATTAACCTCTTCTTGTAGACCTCTGGAAATGTCTCTCCCTTGTTTTGGATCCTTCAGTGGCTCTCAGAATTGGACACTTAACCTCCTTCTCTGGACTCATATCTACCATATTCCACCACTGCAGTGATTCTCAACCAGGGGTATTTGTGTCCCCCCAAGGGATGGACACTGGCCAATGCCAATGTGTGGGTTTTTTTTGGTTGTCACAACTCAAGTGGGAGAAAGGGGATGCTACTGAATATCCTTCAATGTGGAAGACAGCCTCTCACTATAAAGAATTACCCAGTCCAAATGTTAACAGTGTTGAGGTTAACAGTGTTGAGGAGAAATCCTGCTGTACCAAGCTCTTTGTTCTCTAAACACAACAGACTTTCTCATATGCTTCTGTGCCTAAACATAGCCTGTTTCCTTTACCTGGAATGCTCTGCCCTACTTCTTTGTCTAAGAAATGACCATTTATCAATCAGGTTCTGACTCAAAATGTCACCTCCTCTATGCTGTCCCTTCCATATCTCCCAAGGTTGGATGTTTCTTCTGTGCTTCCAGAGTTCCTGGTACATATTTAATTAAAACCACTAGCCACACTCCCCCCAAGCCTGTCACCCGCCACAGGCAAAACCCAAGCCCCATTCATTGTTCATCCCTCAGGGCCCATCTGGTAATCACTTGCTACTTGCCAAGTCAAACAAGGAATAAATGGAAATGTTGTAGATACACCTAAGACTCTCTTGCAGAAATGTCTAAGGGACAACAGTGTCCCCAACATCAAAAACAACAACAGTAAATATTTGTCAAATGCTTATAATGTAGATAGGTACTATATTAAGTTAATATGATGCACATATTAATTCATTTCATCCTTCTGACAACCCTACAAGGTAGGTACTATTATCATCAGCATTTTACAGATGGGCAGATGGGGAAATTGAGGCACAGAGAAATTAAGCCCCTTGTCCAAGACCATCAAAGCTAGTATCTGGAAGGGCTGATATTTAAACCCAGGTAGTCTGGCTCCAGTGCCTCAATCTTCCAACATTCATGCCAAGGCAGTTATATTAGCAACCAATATTTCAGTCAACCAGAAGCCTCTGACAAACACAGTGACATATCCGTAAGACTATACAACCACAGCATGGCCGCCACCTCCTGTGACCCTGCCTATAAACACCACTTGCTGGGGTCACACAAGTCTCCAACCTCTGGAATATCTGTGGCAGGAGAAGCAACCTCCTCACACCATGGGAAGACATTACATACCCAGAAAAATCAGGGTACTGTAAAGAAGACACAAAGGCTGATTCCCAAAAATATCTCTTACCTTGTTCATGTTGCAGGGACTGGAGCAAGGGCTCAGACATGTCACAGTGCGAGGCAGCTCTGGAAGATTCTCCTCGTTGCTGTAGACCTCACTTCCCGAAGCAGACAGCTGCACTGCAAACACAAAGAGGAAATCTATCAGCTGGCTCTCAGGAAGACACAGAGCAGTTCTGTGTCCAGTGGAACTTTCTGCCATGATGGCAATGCTCCATGCCTGTACTGTCCACTATGGTAACCACTAGCCACATGTGGCTAGTGAGCATTTAAAGTGTGGCTAGTGCAGCCAAGGGCTGAATTTTAAATTTTATGGGATTTTAATTAAATTTAAATGTAAATAGCTACATGTGGTTAGTGACTACCATACTGGACAGCACAGGTCAGAGAATCAAATTCTAGAATCTAGAGAATCAAATCAAAAGTCTTAAGGTCACAGATATTGGACGTGCCAGTGGCCAAGGAAAAGCTGGGTATTATATGCTCAGAGTAACTGCAGATACACAGAAACAAGAACATTCATTCAACTACTATTTTCTCAGTACTTACTAGGTGCAGGGTACTGAGGATATAGTGATCAATAAGCCAGAGAGGTCAGTTATTTAAGAGTTTCTAGCTCAGGCACGCACTTCCTTGGGAGGAGAAAGGATCTAGCATGTAAGCAGCACTTACTTTGTGCCAGACCTCAATGCCTTCCCTGCTGCCTACAAGGAATAAAGGAACAGACAAGCATTTGCTGAAGACTGGTTGTACCACGGTCAGGGCTTAATAGATAGGACCTTCCACAGAGCCCCTACCATAAGGGAATCCAGGAGGTCAGTTTCCCATGGGCCAAATGAACCAGATGATTTAACATCCCCTCAAATGGAATAAGGGTCCCTGTTTTTATCCATGCTACTGGTTCTTTAGGGGGGTTTTTTGAGTCACTTGAATTACATTTTAGAGTAAAACAGTTATTGTACTGCTCCAGGGTTCTTACTTTATCAAATATTAAGGAAAAATAAGAAAGAACATGTCTTCAACCCCTTAATTAGACCTGTAGCCTTTTCTTTGAAAAATGTTTATGGGTGAATTTGATAGGAGAACAAACATTGTAAGGTTCCTTGTAATCACCTTATTTCTGTGTTGCTTTTTCCTGGTTGCATCTGGGAAGTGTTTATGTATCTGAACCTTTCCATAAAGACTAGAATTACAGGTTTAAAGGCAACTGCAGGGCTTTAAAATACATTTTATTTTTATTTTTTAATTTTTTAGGTTTATTTCTTTATTTTGAGAGAGAGAGAGAGAGAGAGAGAGAGAGAGCAAGCAGAGGAGGGGCAGAGAGAGAGGGAGACAGACAGAATCCCAAGCAGACTCTGCACTGTCAGCACAGAGCCAGATACAGGGCTCGAACTCACAAACCATGAGATCATGACCTGAAGTGAAATCAAAAGTAGGAGGCTCAAACCACTGAGGTACCCAGGTGACCCCAATTTTTAATAATAATACAGTAACAATATAGAAAGTGTTCAATAGGAAAAGAAACAGAAGTCATAATCCCACTAATCATAATCACCTTCAGTTCTTAGTACTCAGCCTTTGTCTACTGGAGAATGACATGAGGCCCTGGTGTGTCTGCTGAATTGAGGACACAGAGAAGTCCAAGGCTATATTTCCTAAGTGAACATCTTTCACCATTAAGAAAATGGCTTTGTAATCTGTATTTTCAAAAGATAAACTCCTACTCCACACACATTACTATTCTGTGAACATGATATTATTAAATTCCTTTACAAATCAGAAGATAGGGAGAGGAAATTACAAATCACTCCTTGACTGTTTGAGACATAGGGATTCCAAAGAAAATACCACATTCAGTCATAGCAATAACATATTTTAACAATGATGTACAACATGGAGAGACCCTGGAATTCTGACTTTATAGCCTAAAGACATCCAAACACCCCTGTATGTACCTGACGCCTGGGTAATTGATGCCTCAAAGTCAAGAAAATTCAGTATCTAATTCTGTCCAATCTTATAATGACTGAAAGAAAATTATGCATATAACTTTTACTCTTTGAGTTTCCAGAAGCAGATCCTAATAAATTTATTTTTATTTTTTTTAATGTTTACTTATTTTTGAGAGAGAGAGAGTGCAAGTGGGGGAGGACCACAGAGAGAGGGAGACACAGAATCTGAAACAGGCTCCAGGCTCTGAGCTGTCAGCATGGAGCAGACGCGGGGCTCAAACCCATGAACCGTGAGAGCAAGACCTGAGCTGAAGTAAGATGCTTAACCGATTAAGCCACCCAGGTGCCCCTTCTGTTTTATTAAAAAAATTTTTTAATGTTTATTTATTTTGAGAGAGAGAAAGAGAGATGGAGAGAGTGCTCACATGAACATGAGTCGGGGAGAGGCAGAGAGAGAGGGAGAGAGAGAACCCCAAGCAGTCTCTGCACTGTCAGTGCAGAGCCCAACATGGGGCTTGATCTCTCAAACCATGAGATCACGACCTGAGCCGAAATCAAGAGTCTTGGATGCTTAGCCAACTGAGCCACTCAGGCACCCCACATTTCTCTTTTAAAGTAGAGCTCTACATGTGCTGTTTCCTTTTTAATAAATGTAATTCAGTACCTTTAAAAACTATATAGCCTAGCACGTAACTGGGAAACTTTTCCAAACGCCTTGCACAGATGTCTGATGTCACAATTCCATTCAAATGTACACATTGGTATCAACACAGGAAAGGTGGGCACAAGAAGATAATAGCAAACAGACAAGGATTCTTGAACACAATTTCCCCAAGGAAATTCCACCCAGCTCCAATCATGCCACAATCCCCTCTCCCTCAGAGCTTGGGTATATAGTCTGCACTAAAGCAATTATGGATTCTCCCCTGTGACCCCACCACCCCAAGTGTTCTTATGTCATTTTCATGTATATTGGTTCTACAACAAAGTCAAAATAAAAACTCTTTGAGGGAAATATTAGTCACCTAGAAAGTTCTTAATAAATATTATGAATACACTTTTTTCCTTGCTGTCACTCACAGAGCCTAGGATGATGTGGACTCTTAATGGAGAATCTTAAACACAATGTTGATAATCACTGCAGACTGCCTTTGGGTTTTTTTTTTTTTT